TTCATTTAATTTTAGCACCAGCCGTTTAATACATAAAACTACCTTACCTGAATCAACTTGAGTGAAGCACCTTCCCCAAATGATCAGGAGCCAAAAGAAGAAGAGGGTGTTCAGCTTGTAAGGTTTTTAAAGCAACGACAGCAATCAGAAATGTCCCAAAGTGGGCCTCTTCTCAGCTTATATTACCTTTAGAGGAGGAGTTTCTGGATGCAGAACGACTGGAGCTCAAATATCTTTACTGAATCATAAACCTGAGCAATGTTAGCCACAAACAAAAGCTGCTAAGTTTGTTCTCACGCAGAGCGCGAAAAGAAGCGAGAAAAGGAAGCTCCAAACCACATTTAAAAAGAAAACTTCTATGTCGTTTAAATAGCTGTTTGTTTGTTTGTTTGTTCTTGCTTTTTATAACCATTACTGCTACCAACTGTGATTAAATCACTTCTGCAATCTATTTCTCCTGTTTTAAATTTGACCTAATATACACTTTTTTCTATTTTTCTTTTTTTTTGCCAATGCATGAATCTGCATGCTTACTTTTGCCTTTCATTTCTTAATGGCTCACTTGAAGTTCCTCACTGAGGGATAATAATGCATGTTTCTATATTAGACAGTCTTTTGAATATAAATATTATCAGCCAAGTTACTTCCAATGTTCTTATAAAGGAGCAAAGAGCCTGTTTATAATGCTTTAATATTTTTTGCACCTTTAGTTTCACAAATGTTGTAGTTTATAAACAGCAATAGCTGCATACTTTATAATTAGACAAAATGCAAACACAAATTTCTTAAAGTTGCATCCTTATGGTTTAGTACACCTGCTCTTAAACCGCTACATAGTTGTTAGATTTCTCATGAACAGTGTGGACAAATGACTCAAACAGAGAGGACCCCAAACCCAAAAGAGGAAAAAAAAAGCCACATTTGCATGACCTAAATGACTGTCAAAGGTTTTTGGATGCTCTGCAACAATAAGAGGTGTTAGTGGTCTGTTATCGGAAAGGTTTTTGACTTAATTGAGAATTTGCAAAGTAGTTTTTAACTAATTCTCAAGCTTCATAAAAACATGTAGAAAACAGCTTTATCATCCATTTGCCCTCAAACAGTCCAGCTTTTCTCCACGCTGACTGAAGGGTCATTAGATGTTAATCATGACAGAGATTTGACCACTTATATTTTTTTAAACTATGATCCAATTCCTGTACCAACTGAATTCTCCCATCGAGGATTAATATTAATATTTGTATTCTGCTCAGTTTTTCATTGAGAAACAATTTTATTACAAACGATGCGACTTCTTTATTACTTATAAAGGATTCCACTGTCTGTTTGTTTGTCTTGCAATGTATTCTTAAAGCTGCAGTTTTACACATTTTGTAGTCTGCTAACACTAAAAGCAGCATACATCATGATCAGACAAATCCCAGTACTAATTTATATAAGTTCGTACACCTGCTATTAAAAATATTTGTAGTGGTGAATTTTCTCACAAGCAGAATGGACAAAATGTTCAGACAAAAAGAACCACAAAGCCTCAAAGCCACAGATGCAAAATAAGCTATCATTGCTTCTTCTGCAAAGATTGTGCAAGGACACCGTTACTGCATTTGGCTGTAATAAATGCTTAAACACAGTTTTAGGGTCTCTAATTTAAAGCAAATGTCATGTTGCTGTTCAGATCATTTTTATGAATATAAAGGAACATTTTTCTCCTGCGTACATGAAAAACTGTCGTAAATCTGTTTGTTCAGGCAATATTAATATTAATTTCTTTACTCTGGCATTATGATAATAAAATATTAAACCCATCAGATGTATTAAGGGGTCCATTACTACTTGGAAATATTTGACTTAATTGAGTCTCTGCAAAGTAGTTTCCAAATGATTCTCAAGCATTAATAAAAATAAATAAAGAAAATCACACTAATCATAATTTCAATACCAAAAAGCCAGCGGCTTCTCTTAAGCCTCGTTGCTATTTAGTTCTCCCCTCTGCAAGTTGCTCTGTCTGACCTTCTTAAACCTGTCATTCTCAAACAGGGGTACCAGTGCCCTCTAGTGGTACTAAGGGAAGGCTGTTAAATCAAATGTGAAATGTTGATACTCTAGAAATTTGTTTAATTAAAAAAGTTTCATTGTTTAATGGTCAAATTTAGTATGCTTTAAAAAAAAAAGTTTTTTTATTTTTATTTAATAATTATTTATGTGCTACAGCCTCTTAATGTGCTATCAGCCAATTAAGACACAGGTACAGTTGCTAACTTAGCAACTTTTGACTATATATATGTATATATATATATATATATATATATATATATATATATATATATATATATATATATATATATATATATATATATATATATATATATATATATATATATATATATATATATATATATATATACAGAGATGGCAAAAGTACTCACTTTCCGTACTTGAGTAAAAGTACAGATACTTGTGTTAAAAAATACTCTGGTAAAAGTGGAAGTACTGATTAAACTTCTTTACTCAAGTAAAAGTAACAAAGTTCAGGCTTGTAAATTTACTTAAAGTATAAAAGTAAAAGTAGAAACCACTTTTTTCATGCCGTTGCCTACATTTTAAATGGATGTCTGCCAATAGGACTAGATCTCCGTTGTGTTCATTTTCAATCATCTCGTTGTCCATACTACTATGCTAACGCCACCGCCACCAAGCTGCAATGATTTGCCGCGAATGAATACCGCCGAATCTGTCGATTCATCTTGTAGTGGTGTGTCAAATGCAACGTAGATTCCCATCCAATTAGATTGAATTTGGTATTGATGACGTGAAAAATAATAACGGTAACTCCATTGAAATGATTCAAAACTAAAGTAACGAGGCAATTTTTTAAAAATGTAAGAAGTAGAAAGTACAGATATTTGTGTAAAAATGTAAGGAGTAGAAGTAAAAAGTCGCCATAAAAATAAGTAGTAAAGTAAAAATATCAGAAAAATCTACTTGAGTACAGTAACGAAGTATTTGTACTTCGTTACTTCCCATCTCTGTATATATATATATATATATATATATATATATATATATATATATATATATATATATATATATATATATATATATATATATATATATATATATATATATATATATATATCTCAGAGGTCTGAGCGCCAAAGACAAAGTAATTGTATCAATAAATTTCTCCTAATTGTCTTTTCTCTTTGTGTGAGTTTTTCCAGATTGAAATATAATGTAATCATTGTCAAAGACTGTTGGGTTTAAATCCAGAGAAATGTGAGTTTAAGAGGACGAAATGATCAAACACAGACAGGGATTTTGTAACGTCAGCCTCTGCAGTAGGGGAGAAGAACTGCTGGCTAACAACCAGCACCTTTTCTCTCAGATCCCTTCACAGCAAAGCCTTTTATTAACAGTTTACAACATAATAGGGCGGGTCTTAAACAGAAAACCCAGTAATGATTATCTGGCAGGATGCAGGTGTGAAATGACCATCTGGCTGGATGGAAGTCACACAACCGTGTGACTCTGCCTCATGACCTACTGGATGCAGGTCATAAAAGTTTATGACCCTCCTGATTGAATCACAGGACAGAAATGTAGCATAATTTTTCTTAAATGTTTCATATGCCCACACAATAATTTTATAATTATCATTCAATAACTCTAACAAAGACCATTCTGGTGGTTACATTCTTGCTTTACATTTTTATTGTATGCCAAGGTTTTTTTCAAATGCAGCAAATAATTACTATAGTATAGTATAGTATAGTATAGTATAGTATAGTATAGTATAGTATAGTATAGTATAGTATAGTATAGTATAGTATAGTATAGTATAGTATAGTATAGTATAGTATAGTATAGTATAGTAATAGGTCAAAGAAAATGTACTGAGGAAAGAAAAAAGCAACTGCTTGTACAGAAATTATATTCAGCATTTAATAAAACGAGCAAAACCAATAGGAATATTAGATCATTTTTTTCCATACCTCAGCCAAGTGATAAGGCTTACCGTTTTTACATAAGACTGTAACTCTAGTTGCTTCACCCTCAACACCAGTGTATTTGCATGTTTTAGCTTCTGGTATACGTTTACAATCAATTATCTTAAGATTGGGTAGTCTTAATGTTCCACACTCTTGATTCCTTTTACAGATTCCCTTTATGATATCAGGAGTAGCCAAGAAGAAGGTATTTATGTTTTTGCATGTTTTTGCATGTCCATTTAATTTGGCCATTTCGTCATTGCACTTTTCGGATGTCATGTTATTAACAAAATGTTTCTGGTAGAAGTCCAGAGCCGCATTGATCTTCATTGCAGGTGGAGTAAGGAGCAGGACAGCAACAAGCTGGATCTTCATGGTTACCTGTTGAAAGAATCCAATTGAAAATCTTCTTACAAAGATTCTAGAGCAGCTCCAAACATATAACTTCAGAGATCAGAATCTGTCTCTCTTAAATAATGAAAAAAAAGAAAAAAGAATTTGAAATAAAACCTTTAATAGTAGCCTCTGCTTAGTGTCTAGACTGCTACTGATTTATGAGACAGCATCTGATTTACTTAAGGGCTCCTGTTGATCGAAAGGTAGAGATTAGTTTTTGTACAGAAATAAAGGTTTCCTGAAAAGTAGGTTTAATGTCTACATACATTTAGCTTTTACTAGCTTTTAGTTCGTAGGTTCCACTAATATGAAATATACTCGCAGAACACTGTAAAAGTCCTGAAAACCCAAATTTTAAGTTTGAGATTAAAAAAATGTATATGTTTAGGGTGGCATTTCACTGTTATCTGCATTCTTAATTTAAGACTATTCAACAGACTATTTAAAAAAAAAAAACAATTTAGTCCATGTTTTGCTCTTTGTTCATATCCTGCAGCTGATTTGTGGTGATTCACTGATATAAAAAAAAGCTACAAAAAGTAAACCTGATGATTTAAAACAGGACTGCTTATCTTTCCACCCATGTTTTAGCTTAATCTAATAATGTCAAATTAAGCTCTTGCTTGCCTCTTGTAAATGTTGATTTGAATTATAAGAAATCAGCTGTAAACACGTCAAACGTTAACATTGGAATATTGGAACACCTACCTTTTTTGTTCTCCACCAAACACAGTCAACTGGTTCTGCTGCAATAACACCAGTATAGGATGCTCAGAAGCTGAAAATCTGCAGGAATAAAGGAGAAGCCTCATTTAGCTTTTTGAGCATCTAACGGCCAGAAGATAGCATAAAATGTTATGATAGTCTATATTTGCTTTGGGTCTGTTGATCCTGAGTAACACTGTCCAAGTCTCTATCAGTACAACAGTAGTTCTCCTTTTAAAAGGCTCAATGTGATGAATGTGCCATGCTATTAAATCCTTTAAAAATTCATTTGTTTCTATTTTCTATCTATTTTAGCACCAGCATTTTAGTACACAAGACCTACCTTAACTGAACCAAAGTGAGGGAAGCACCTTCCTCAAATGATCAGAGGCCAAAAGAAGAAGAAGAGAGTGTTCAGCCCGTAAGATTTTTAAAGCAGGGAAACAGCTTATATTACCTTCAGAGGAGGAGTTTCTAGATGCAGAAAAACTAGAGCTAAAAATATTTTTCCTGAATCATAAAACTTAGCAATGTTCTGACATGATAAAGGTGAAACAAACATGGTTAGCCACAAACAAAAGCTGCTAAGATTGTTCTCACACAAGTGAGTGAGTGAGAGCATAAAAGTGTAAAAGTTTCACTTTCCATCCAGGGAGTCCCAAGCTTTATACGGTAGCTCAATAAAGCCTTGTTGTGGCTAAGAAAACATGCAAATTGAAGAACAGGTCCACCCCTTGATAATCGGGAGTCGTTGAGGTCTTTGTTAGGCTGCATTACCCGATACTGGCCTATGCCTCTCAAAAGGGAATTCATTAGGTCATCTTCAGAGCTCCTCAGTCATTCTTTCTCAGGTCCAGTCCCATTTCTCTCACTTGCACTTGTTTTGGGCCCTAGCACTCTATCCGCTATCTGCGATAAGCTCACTGCGCAACCTATTCTCATTATGAGTGCGTATGAAATCGTGCGAAAAGTTATGCACAGTAATTTCGTTCGTTTTGGACGTTTTTTTTCGTCGTGTGCGCATTCGCATTTGACGCACCATTCACGAATCTAGAATATAAATTACTATTAGCCCTAACCCTGACCCTAACCCTAAGATATAAAACAGCAAGCAACGTAGTTAGAGACATGAATAAGTGCTGATTGCACTGTTTTTCCCAATTTTACGTCTGTCCGCGGATCTGCTTTTTTTTTCTGTCTGCCAGCGCATGCGCACTGATGTGGTTTTTTGAGGAAAAACGTCCAAAACGTACGAAATAGTGTGCATAACTTTTCGTACGATTTCATACGCACTGATAATGAGAATATGTTGCACTGCGACACACTGCTGCGGGTAGTATAACCAGCCATTTAGACTTAGACAACTTTAAAAAAGAATTCTAGAATGTGAAAGCACTGTGTTATCTTGTATCTAATCTGGTTAAGTGGACTAACTTCTCAAGGACTGTGGAGCAGGCCAAAGCCCTAATAAAGCTTAGAGCAGAAAATGAGGCCACCACAGATCAACTCTGGGAGAGAGTAGCCTTACCTGCTGTTTCAACAATTACATTCTGATCATGCATTCACCAACTCTAATGTTCATCACTGTAAGACAGCAGTCAAAAAGCTCAGCCTTAAAGGAATAGTACACCCAAAACATGATTAGCCTTCATTTTCTACTCACCCCATGCTGAACAACACTCTGGAGTACTTTTTTGATATCTCAAATGCATCTGGAGATCTGGGAGGCTTCTTGCTGTCTGCTGACATTCAAATAATGGAGGTCTATGGTGCCCGAGGCAGAAAGGTCCATAAAAGTCCACAAAAAACGTGTCAATATTCCTCCATACTGCTCGTCCAATGTATTCCAAGTGTCCTGAGTGGGTAGCGTCCATAATTTACTCGAAACGAAGTCCTTTAGAATGTTTTTAGCGCATAAACAGTAGTGTATAGTATTTCCTAAAAGCGCGTTCACGAGTCTACGGAAACCGCGGCAGACCAAACCAGATGAAAGTGCGCATTCAGCGTCTGCTCTGCCGATAATGCAAACGTAGAAGAAGAAATGTGCTGTTTACCTGTGCAAAGAAAGAAACAACGAAAGAAAAATGTCTGAGGACTTCAGTGTTGAGGAAGAGCATGAGTTCTTTGCCGAGCTGAATGCGCACTTTCGTCTGGTTTGGCCAAACAGGCAGCAAAAAAATGGGAGCCGGGTCCATCTTCCACCGCTTCACCCCCATCCCCTCCAACACCGATGCCATCCACAGCAGCAGGCCCTTCTGCTGCTTCCACACCAGCTGCTCAAGCACCCCCAACCCCATCTCCCAGAAAGAAGGCAAGAAGAAACAATAATGCTCTTCTTGATTTCTTCAAACAAGAGTGTGAGAAAGAGCAAAAAAGGCACAATGAAATTGATGCAAAAACTGAGAAGTTCCTCAGCCTGTTTAATAAGCTTGTGGACAAAATGCATTTAGAGCTGTGGTGTGTTTACCTTTTAGTGTGAAATCACTTTCAGCTTGTTTGGGTTATTTCCCCCCACAGTTTATTTAAAACTTTGTTCCATATTTGTTATATAGTTTTATACTTTTATATAAATGTGAGTTCAGCTTCCTGAATACAAATATTTTTATAAATAAAATTGCTTGGTTGTTGTTTTTCGACTATGCATCACCAATTCATACAGTATGTTACATCATTATAAAATGAATGACAAAGTGACAAAGTTATAATATAGAACTTTAATAAAATGCATTTAAAATGTGACAAAATCATCATTATATACAATTAACAGTAATTATATACAAATTCCTATAACACATGTCAAATATGTGCCTGAACTTAAATATTTACAAATTTTGCCTGCAGCTGTCCTCCAGAGACTCTTCTTTAAAGAAGACTCTTCTTTATTGCCATCATAGCCTCATGGATTGCCTCATGGCACTGTGCTTCGCCTCACGGCCGGCGGCCTCCAGTGACTCTTCTCTCTCAGCCGTCCTATCGAGACTCTTCTTCACCACCAGCCTCCAGAGGCTGTGACTTGCCTCAGTCCACCTTTGGTGGTTGTTTTGGACTGTCCTCCTTCCTGGTCCCCCATCCGCCCATCCTGAGTGAATTGTTTTTTGTTTGTTTAACTCTGATTTTGTTTTTATTCTTGCCCTCCTTCCTGGGTCTCCAGCCACCCATCTCTTAGAGTGTCTGGTATCCGCCCTGAGGGAGGGAGGCTGCTGTCATAATAGGCTCTATGCACAGCTCCACTACTTCCTGAATTTAAGGCAGCTCCTTTGTTTCCTGTCTTTCATGATTGGATGCACTGATTAATCCAGGTGTGTATGACCTAAGTAACTGGCCAGACACACCTGGATTAATCAGTTCGTCCAGTAATGAAAGACAGGAAACAAAGGAGCTGCTTTAAATTCAGGAAGTAGTGGAGCTGTGCATAGAGCCCATTGTGCCTTTTGTGGACTTTAATTTATGGTATTCTTTGTTTTTGTGATTGAGGGTTTCTTTTTCATTTTATGTTATATTTAAGCAGCGTTTTAATTTATTCTCTGTTGCCCCCTTGTTCCAGTCTCCTTTCCCCTAGCTCCCTTCTAGATCCTTCTGTCCACACCTGCTTCCAATCTGTTGATTACTCCATTCATTGTTCTGTTTGTCATATTCTCCTCCTTTGCAGTTACTGTTTGCTGGATTCTCAACATTATTTTGGTTTATTCCTCCCTCGTGTCTCCTAGTTTTTTTGGTACTTGAGTTTTCCTCTTTGATCAGTTCTGGACTTTGGATTTTGTATTTTTATGTTTTTTCATTAAAGCTGCAAGAAACCACCCCAGACTCCGTCTCTGCATTTGGGTCCTCTAACCATCTCCCCACAACCTGACAACTTTTGTACGGAGTGATTTTTCTGCAAAAACGTTATGTACAAAAATGCATGCTGCGCACACACATAAAGCATGTTGCAAATGCATAAAGCAAACAAATCTTATCACTCCCAAATAAACATGTTGCACTTAAATAAATCTTATTGTTCACAAATAAACCTTCTGTTACAAACTCTCATCTAATGTCACACACATATAAAACTATTTTTCAAACTGTCCTTAAATATTGCACACATACAAAAATTAGTTTTAGAAACCGGACTCTAACATTGCACTTGAAATATAATTTGTAAATTGTCCCCAAGTACAAAACGATCTTCTGTGTCTGCGGAAAATGCATTTTTGTACACGTTTTGGCAGAAAAATCACTCCATACTTTTGCCTTTCACTTCTTAATGGCTCGCCTGAATTTCCTCACTGAGGGATAATAAAGCATATTTCTATTCAAGACAGTCTTTTACATATAAATATTATCAGCCAAATGTCTTCTATTATTCTTATGAAGGATCAAAGACCCTGTTTATATGGTTTAAGCATTTTTTACACCTTTAGTTTTACAGAAGTTCTAGTTTATAAACCGCAATAGTTGCATATTTTATAATCAGGGAAAATGAAATGCAAACATAAATTTGTTAAAAGAGCATATTATTTAGTGATAATTTAGTACACCTGCTGTTAACCTGATATATAGTGGTGAGATTTCTTATGAACAGGACAAATGACTCAAACAGAGAGGACCCCAAATCCACAAATGGATTAAAAGCTACATTCACGTTACCTTCAAAGACTGTCAAAGGTCGTTGGCTCAATCAATAAGATGTGTTCGTGGTCTGTTATCTGAAAGTACTTGACTTGATTAAGATTGTGCAAAGTATTTTTTTAACAAATTCTCAAACGTAATAAAAAAAAACATTTATAAAAAAGGTTTTATCATCCATTTGCATACATTTTCTTGAAATGTAATTTTGTCTTGCAATGTATATTTGCAAAACAATTTATATTTTTACAGCTGTAGTTTTTTTGTAGATTATTAACACTAAAAGCAGCATATGTCATTATCAACATCCATTATCATTATTGCAGTATAATTTTATAATTTTGTACACCTGACATTAAAAAGATGTGTGGTGGTGAGTTTTCTCACAAGCAGAATGGACAAATTGTTCAGACAAAGAGAACCACAAAGCCACAGATGCAAAAGATGCAATCAATGCATTTTCTTCAAAGATTATGCAAGGACATCTAGTACTGTTTTTTTTACTGTAATAAAGGCTTAAATCAGATGTAGGCATCTCTAAATTAAAGCAAATGTCATGTTGCTGTACAGATAATATATATGAATATAAATGAATATGAAAGAAAATTTACCTCATACAAAAAACTGTTGTAAATCGGTTTGTTCAGGTAATTTTAATAGTAATTTCTTTACTATGGCACTATGCTGATAAAATATGGAACATACGTTTCCAAATAACTCTCAGGAATTAATAAAAAAAAGAATCACACTAAATATAATGTTAAATATAATTTTTATCTAGCAAAGCCAGTAGCTTCTATAAATCC